CTCCCTTTTCCTGATCACTGCCATAGGTACAGAAGTCCCTGGGTGGTGTAACAGTTAACACACTCAGCAGCTAACCAAAAGGTTGGCGATTCAAATCCACTCAGAGGAAAGACTTGGTGACCTACTTCTGAAAAATCAGCCATTGAAAATTCTACAGAGCACAGTTCTACTCTGATACAGAGGGGGTCACCAGGAGTTGGGGTCAACTTGACAGAAACTGGTTTGGTTGTTTTTGTTTGGCACACAGGCACTCACTGACCTGATGGCCTTTCACAATTATCACATATTTCCTCACCCGTCGAGAGTATCAGGTAAATGTCTCCATTTTCACTCATACCTCTATATCACACCTCAAAAATACTTCAGGCATCCTCTTTCCTACACATACAGGTGTATTAGCCTAACCCCCTTCTTTCTTCCTTTCCACATTCAGGATCTTTTTCAGTTGTCCCAAGTAAAGCCACCATTCTCTGTGTCATTTCCTCAGTCCCTTCTGATTGCATTTTTAAGCCAAGTAGCCGACAGATATTTAAGTATTATTACTTTACTGAAGTGCGTATCAAGGAAAAGAAAAGCCTTAAGATGTAGAAGAGTAAAACCAGATGCTTGACCTAGGCCCATCAACCTATAAAAGCCTTAAAATGACCCAGTACTCTCCATAAGATCTATGAAAATCACTAACTCTAGATAATCTCCCTACTTATCTCTCCATTTCTTCAAAAACTACTATTCAAAATCAAAATCACGAATCAATTTTATTTCCTGCTTTAACTTTAACTACTTGTTTGGCATTTTCAATAGTTTTGTTTTCTTCTTTTTCAAACATAAAATATGTCAACTCTACTGCCCTACACGAGGTAAAGGAGGAGACCCTGACCGAGCTGACTAGCTCTAAAGAGATTTTGTCTGTCAGCTATGGTCATTTATTATATTGCTTCTGGGGAGCAAAATGTGTTTCTTTCCACTCAATTAATGAACAAACAAATGAATATGTAATTGTGTATCTGGGGGTGGGGGGGCAGGATACACATTTTGGAGCAAGTCTTTAAGAAATACAAATATTTTTATGTTACTTGCTGCTGTTTCCTCTTTAACTTGTAAAGATCACAAACATTCCTTACTCTAGCTTTGGGCTTCCCTTTTGTCCAAACAGACATTACCTGTCCTGAAATTTTATTGGCATCCAAGGTTCAATGACAACTCCCTAACCAGCTCCACTGAGAGTTAAAATCTTAGTGTGTCTTCTGCTATTGCGCCTTACCTGTGATTTTTTAAAATTGCTATAGACTTAAGCAGGGCAGAGATATACTCTGGCTACCTTAATAGCCAGGGCTTCTGTGTCTCTCTCAGTTAGGGGGAAGTTGGGCTTCTGTTTCTCTGTGGCTTGGCAAAAACCAAGGAGGGATTGTGAAACTAAATCTCTGCATATCAGAATTGTGAATCCCCTTAAATTTTTTTTTTTTTTTTTTCCTCTCAGGAATTTCCATGGCAGCTCACTTCTAATTAACCTGTCCTCTCTATAGGTAAGGGAGCTCTGGTGGTATAGCAGGTAAGGGATTTGGCTGCTAACCAGAAGGTTAATGGTTCAAACCCACCAGCTGCTCCACTGGAGAAAGATGGAACAATCTACTTCTGTAAAGATTTACAGGCTTGGAAACCCTATACATTGCAATCAGCTCAATGGCAGGGAGTTTGGTTTTAGTTTTTCTCTGTAGGTAAAGAAATCCTCTAGCTTTTCCAATTGATCTTAAAGCATTTGGTTTACTTGATATATTCCTCACATTTGTGCATGTGTGTATTTCCCATCTACCAATTTTGCCAAAGACCCCCTACTCTTAAAGTTACCATAGCCTTTTTCCCCCAGAACATTTTCAAAAGCATTTAAACAAATGACTTGCTTTTTTTTTTTTTTTTTTTTCAGGTTAAAATATATTTACATATCACTAAACAATAAAATAGGAGCTCTGGTAGCATAGTGCCTAAGGCACTTGACTGCTAACCAGAAGGCTGGCGGTTCAAACCCACCAGCCACTCCTCGGAAGGAAGATGGGGCAATCTACTTCCGTAGTAATACTGCCTCGGAAACCCAAGGAGGGGTCACTATGAGTTGGGTCTGACTCAACGGCACATACCAACCAATCAACCAAAAACAATAAAATAAAATAAAACCAGGTATTCCTCAGTAGTGCAAACAATCTAATGCACTTGGCTGCTAACTGAAGGGTTACAGGTTCAAGTCCAAGCAGAAGTACCTTGGAAGAAAGGCCTGGCAATCTACATCTGAAAAGTCAGCTATTGAAAGCCCTATGGAGCACAGTTCTACTCTGATACACAGAGTTGCTAACTCTGGGAGAAATACCTGCTGAGCAGCCCTGGTCAGATTATCCCTTCAGCAGGACTCTAAAGCTAGAAGCCTTGCCAGACTTCCAGCAACAAAACTAGGGTAGCACAGCCACATCTAGCTTTGAAGTACTTCTACCTCACTAATTTCAAATCTATAGGCAATGTCTCTGAAATAATGTTCAGCTTGGAGGTAAGCCTACCAGCCTCCCTCCAAGGGAGGTGGCCTGCATACCACAAGCCACACTAAATCATTACAGAAGGCTAACTGTTGTCAGAGACAACAATTAAAATTCCAGGACATCAAGAAGAGGCTTTGCAAAACGCTCTTCTTATGCAGCCTGAGTGGCCCCATATTTGAGGATCTTCAAGTTCCTTGAGGAGCCTTTCTGGTGGCAGCCAGACTTATACCTGCTGACCACATGTTGAGCCCACCTTTGATCATCCCACTGCTCTTTTTACTCCTATTCAATATCTGATTGTGATTCCATGTCTGTGTTCCCAACTGAGCCCTCATGCTCAAATTTACTGTGGTCCCCAAGTGGCCCAGTGGGCCAAACTGCATTTCTCATTTCCCTATAGTTTTACAGGGATGTTTCAGAGCTTCCATAAACAGGATGCATATTTTAAGTTTTAAAAATACCTCTTGAAGGATGAACTATGGTAAATTTAAAATATATATATATTAAAAAAAAATTATATCAAGTACCAAATACTAATCCTGAAGAGGTCACCAAACGTTAATTTGACTTTCTTGTTGGTGACTGGATTTTTGCACCGGCCTCTGAAAGAATTTTTCCTTGCCTTCTCTGACATCCTTGTGAATATGTTACTGATGAGGGTTGTAGCTCTGTGTTGATCTTGGATTGCAAGCCTACACATCTCTGTTCCTGTAAAGTTATACAAGCAACTACACACTAAAGCTCACACACACAGACTACACTCAATTAAATGCCAGGCATGAGCCCAAGAGCATCTGCTTGGCAAATGCTCTAGCCATGATTATGCAGTTACACATGGCACCATCATAATAACATATTATAGATCATTGTACTTTTCATTGTAACTTCTCAGTTGTTAAGGCTAATTTATAGTTATGTGGGAAAAAAAAAAAAACCTACATGCTATTCTTAGTGATTTGACTTTGATTCTTAGTGATTCCTTCTTAGTAGTTTCAAACAAACAAACAAACAAAACCAAATTCTTCTTTCTCCTCTTTCCAGATTCTGCATCACTTTAAAGACTGCAAGATGAGCTGCATTGAAAACTTACCATTTACAACTACTTTCCTATATGGATTAGGACTTACTTAATACTATGCAAAAGCAAAGTGAAAAAATAATCTAGATGCCAAGGCTAATGTATAAGCTATTATCCATAAATCCTAATTTTGAGTTTTGGTGTTGATCAGGGCTCACTGTTCTCATAATGTGTAAATATTATAGTGGTGATGGTAAAACAGCATGGTGAACATAATTATTGTTACTGAGGTATACATATGAAAATGATGGTAGTGGCAAATGTTTTCGTATACATATTTTATCACAACACAATATAAATAAATGAGTTTATATTATAAAGTACCACCATTATATGTCTTATGTGTTGAGATTTTACATAGGATTTTGATTGAAAAAAAATTTACAAAGGGTTCTGTCAGCTTTAAAATAAAAAGTAACCTCCATAACATAGACTATAGTTCAAATGCTCACAGTCCTTATCCTGACTCTGTACATAAGGAATCTGGTGCCCATGACTTAAGCTCTCCAAGCATTGGTAGTCTGATGACAAAATACAGATAATACTATAGTGGTGGTTCAGTGGTAGAATTCTCTGTTTCCATGCCAGAGACCAGGGTTCGAATCCCAGCCAATGCAACTCAAGCACAGCCACCACCTGTCTTGATGGAGACTTTCATGTTATTATGATGCTAAACTGGTTTCAGCTGGAGCTTCCAGACTGAAACAGAGTAGGAAGACCTGGTGATCTACTTCTGAACATCAGCCAATGAAAACCATATGGATCACAATAGTCCAGTCCACAACCAATCATAAGGAGGACCCAGGACTGGGCAGTGTTTTTTCTATGGTACATGGAGTCACTATGAGTCAGGGGCCAACTCAATGGCAGGTGACAACATCACCTACTTTCCTCACATGATATAAGGATCAAATGAAAAATGTGGGTGAAAGTGACAAGAGATTTTTGAGCAGAAGAGACCAGAGAGGTCAACTTTTAAAAACACCAGATCAATTAAGTCAAAGTCTGTGGGCATCAAGCCAGAAGACAATATTTCCACAAGTTCTTCGGGTAATTTTATTGTGCAGCCATGGTAAATGTCCACTGATTTTAGTCACATTTTTATTTAAGAAAAATGTGTAAGGCCTAGAGAAAGTCTCCGAGCAAGCAGTGGAGCACAGCTGGACCCCCAGGCTCTGGATTTTGGGACAAGCACCTCTCACCACAGGACTCAGCTTTTCCAGAGGCCTCAGAGGCCTTTGTGAATAGCAAACTATTACACACCTGTACACATTATACCAAAAAGAGCAATGAGATGCATGCAGACCCTTAAGGCCAGTTAGTATAAGAAACTGCATAGTAAAACTCAAACATCAAATTTCTCATTCTCCCATTTTCTTTTTTAAAGGTTTTCCACTTACCTGAGAGACTCCATGGAATAAGAAACCATGATGCTGGAGGTATAGGAAACAGCAAGGGTTCCTCAGAGATGAAGGTAATTTTCTGCAGATGGGAGTGGTCCTCAGCACCTATGAAAGAACAGCAATGTTGTCTTTAGCATCGTTTGCTCAGGAAGATTCTAGATACCAAAGAGACACTGACAGTTCCCTGGAGAGCCTAAGTGGACCAAGGAAACCAGAAGTACACAAAACATTTTTTAAAAATGCCACTGCTCAGTTATGGTTACCAGGATTTCCTAATTGAAATTTGATTAAGTATGAACATAAGGTAACAAGTTTAAGGAACACCAAGCAGAAGTGTCTCAGCATCTGATCCACAGAAGATGTTTACTAAACTTCCAACATAATTACCTCAGAGTCTGAGCTAATAGCAGAGTTGACATTAGACAAATGTGCATTGGAAATTCATCTCCATCCATTCCAGGCTACTTGACTATAAGAAAGTCATTTCACCTCTGTGTCTTGGTTTTCCCCAACCACCAGTGAGGGTAAAAATACTGTTTAACAATTAAAAAAAGGGGGGGGGGGAGAAATAAAGTACTGATACATGCAACAACATGGATGAACCTTGAAAACTTTATGCTAAGAAAAGAAGCCAGACACACACAAAAAACACATACTGTGTGATTCTATTTACAGGAAATGTCCGGAATAGGCCAATCTGTAGAGACAAACAGAAGACTGGTGGTTGCCAGGGGCTAGGGGTCAGGAGGCGGGTAATGGGAGAGTATAGGGTTTCTTCCTGGTGACAAAATGTTCTCAAATTAGATTATGGTGATGGTTGCACAACCCTGTGAATACACTAAAAATTATTGAATTGCATACTTTAAATGGATGAAATGTATGATATGTGAGTAATTTCTCAATAAAGTTGTTTAAAAAATACTGCCTGAAAAAAATGACTGCAGGTTGTAGTGAAGATTAAATGAGGTAATGTATGATTGTGCTTAGCCCAATGCCAGACATACAGTGACATTCAGCCCAATGGTCACTCTGATGGAACTGATGCAAGAAGAGATCAAGCAACACTTAAATGTGGTGTTGCTGGGTGCTGTCAAGTCCATTTCAACTCACAGCGACCCCATGCAACAGAGTAGAATTGCCCCATAGGGTTTCCTAGGCTGTAATCTCTACAGGAGCAGATCACCAGGTCTTTCTCACCTGCAGCCGCTGGATAGGTTCTAAAAGTCAACCTTTCCAGTTAGCAGCCAAGTGTTCAACCATGGCATCACCAGGGCTCATTTAAAATGTGTTATTACAGGTAAAAATAGGTAGGTAAAACCCCTCCTCTACAAATACTACTTTACTCAGGAGCCCTCACTAAATAGAATTTCCAAACATTATGAGGTAAGCCAACAGTTTCAAAGGTAGCTATAAACAGCAACAGAAAGACCCAAAACAGAGGTTTGGTTGGAATGTAATGGAATTTAGGAAGAAAACAGACATGGTCCAGCCTCCTCTTTCCTGCATCTCCTTGCAAGGAAAGACAAACAAACAAAACAAGGTTTCAAGGTGTGCCCAAGGGTCCTCACTAATAAGGCAGACTTTGCCAAAATCATTGGTTTCCAAATTCTTCCCCTGGACTTCAAACTTTCTCCTTACTAGGAAGTGAGAGGAATAATTTACCAGGAATTAAGAAAAGATGGTCACGAGAATCAGAAAATTATATTTGCAGGGAAGAGAAAAAAAAATTAAAAGTTATCACCAGCCCTTTCTGGAGGTTACTAAGAAAGTAAAGCCACTTAACTGTAATCACTCCTAATTAGCCATCAGCAACTAATGAAATTACTCATGGTATTGAAGACCCTTACATTCTTGGCTCTCAGCCAGAAGTTACACTGAGCTCGACCAGGAAGAAAGCCAACAAGTGTAAATTGGAACAGTTATAACTCTTCCTGAAGCCAGGCGTGGTCTTCTTGCTCTTGGCTGTGGAGTACATATGTGAGAAGACAGAGAATTTAACTTAGGAGTCACATGAAGTCTTTGTCAGACTCCTGATAATGATCCATAAATATTTACTCTACACATGGTGTGCTCAAGTCCTTGAGGCGCTATGGGAGTCGAGAGAAGGGTGAGTCAATGCAGGTCTTTTACAAACTCTTTGCTATTGAGTCAATTTCAACTCATCACTACCCTATACAATAGAGTAGAACTTCCCCATAGGGCTTCCAAGGTTCTAATCTTTATGGAAGCAGATTGCCACATCTTTCTTCCACAGAGAAGCTGGTGGTTTCGAACCACTGACTTTTTGGACAGCAGCCAAGTGCTTATTAACCACTGTACCACCATATGGAAAGGTCAGGGAAAAGGACATTGTTATTCGGAACAACAAAGGAGAAATAATATTACATACAGACCCTAAGTACAAAACAAGTTAGTTGAAAAGAAGGGGGATCCCTGGAAAGGGCGGGTCTGGCCTCAGCAAGGAAGATGGCAGTTAACATTAGGCTTTTGCCAAAGCAGTTTACAAAAGAACAATCTAGCATAGTTGGCACAAGTGAAAGCACTCTGTTATCTGAAAGACTTGAGTCTTAGGCCAGCTTCTTTATTTATTAGCTGGGTGACTTTTGGCAATTAATCTTTCTGTCTTTCCACTTCCTCATCTTGAAAATGGGGATACTATTTGTAACTACATCATAGTGTGTTGTGAGTATTCAGTATTTATTGAGACTATGCATGACCTAAGTGCTAGACACACACACACACACATATACACACAGAGCAAGGATGGTCTCTGCCCTCAAGAAAATTAGTCAAGATGCTAGCAGACTATAGGTAGGTCCCCAACTTATAATGGGATTCCATTGTAAGTCAGTTCTGATGTAAGTCAAACATCTTTTTTTTTTTTTTTTAGTTTTCATTATTATTGCTTTCTATTATCAGTATCTTTATAAATCTGATCTCTATTTGTCTTTGGGGTTTGGAAGCATTACATATAAACTTACAGATATGATGAGATCAGCAAATCATATGCTGCCATATCATATGTAGTACTTATTACTGATAAGATATACCAAAAATGGTTACCAGGGGTGGGAGGGAAGGGGAGGGAATGCTGTTAGATAGATAGAGATAAATATTGATTTGGGTGAAGAGAAGGGCAATGTACCAAATGTGAGTGACCAATATGGCAGCATTGAGGATGAGAAAGACAGAGAGAGTTAAATGGGCAGTACAAACAACAAATATGAACCCCTTTGTAAATACAAAAAAAAAAAAAAAAGATATACCAAAAATAAAAAAAGATGGTAGTAAGTATAGTTCATAACTCAAATATGTTGAAGTCACGGACTACCTGTATGTACTTCAAACAAACTGAAACATAAATAAAATTTATAGAAAATAAAATTGTGATAGACCAATTGCTGTCAGGTTGACTCCACCTCATGGTGACCCCATGTGTGTCAGAGGTGAATGGTGCTCCATAGGGTTTCCAATGGCTGATTTTTCAGAAGTAGATCATTAGGCTTCTCTTGTGAGGTGTCTCTGGGTGATCTCAAATCTCCAACCTTTTGGTTAGCAGCACAGCACACTGATCATTTGTACCACCTACGTACTCCAAAATTCTAATAAGAGCCATGAAAGAAAATACAATGTCCCTCAGAAAGTATACTGGTAAGTGGTCAGAGACGGTCCCTCTGAGGAAGTGATCTTTTAGCTGGGGTTTCGGGGGTGAATACGAGTTAGCCAGGTGAAGAGGGAGCTGAGCATATACAAAGGAGAGGGAATCATGTATATAAAGGCCTAAGGTGGGACCTAGTGAGGTCTATGTAAAGAACTGGGAGGAAACAGTGTAGTGGAAACAGGACAAACAAAAGAAAAAAAGCATGAGAAGAGCTGACCCTGTACTCTGAGGTAAAAATCCCCAGAATATAATTGAATGGTTGAGGAGATGACGAAAGAGAGGTGGCAACCACGACTCTTCAGATTTTTGGTGAACGGAGGTAGCAAAATGTGCTAATGTAGCTTTTTTTGTTTTGTCACAAAAGGAAGGGCAATGTTGAGAGAAGAGGGTGCATGTGGAGCAATGGTCTCCAGAGTGGAAAAAGAAATTGACTAGAAGAACGTCTTAAGTTATCAAGACAAGCTGAAAACAGATTTACAACTACAGCTGATAAGCACAAACCTCATCACCTGTGCACTATGCCTTCAGATATTTGCTCATAATAGAAGGAAGCCACCATGATTAGCTGCCATTGTAAAATGCATTTCTTTCCATCAATATTTTGGGCGTATGTTTTGAACAGCCACATAGTACATTGATAGGTAAATTTTAAAAATAACCAAACAGATACTGAGACGCACACGAAAACATTTTTTACTGATGTGGGTATGCAATCAAAAACATTGGAAGCACTAGTCTAGTACTTTCTTTAGCCAACTTCTTATCAAATTTGATTACTATTGTTTTATCTCATGATATGGTTGATGACCTAGTATTGGGAACAGAAGAACTAGCTTTGTGGTTTTCTCATTGTTTACTTGTGCTTCCATGATGAAATCAGATCTATTTTCCAAACTGGGGTCACGACCCATTTGTCTGTCATGAAATTAATTTTGTAGGCCATGACCAGCATTTTCTTTTTAATGAAAGAGAAGATAAAATGCCAGCATTTATCACTTATAGTAAATATTTCTTACTGTAGGTCACAGTCAGAAAAGTTTGAATGACTCCAGAAGTCCGCAGAGGATTCTAACTGTGATTTGGGGGAATAAAATTGTAAAGATGAGGCAAAACCATGTTATACAACACCATGAAAAGCAGGGCTAGGAGAATTTTGATGAGATGGCAAGAAAGAGTCAGTGTAGGTTCTGGAGTAGGGAGAGACCTGATGAAAGTGAGGTTTCCCGAAAATACATTTGGCAAGAGTACACCAAGCGGATTGAGCAAACACGCTATCAATGGACCTGAGTACTGGTCCTCTTTTCACTCTATTATACTAACTTCCTCCCACCTAGAAGAAATACAACCAGATGCTCCTTATAAGCAAAGATGGCAAGATTTTAGCTCACTTACTTTGAACACATCATCAGGAAAGACCAATCACTAGAAAAGG